TAGTTGACATTATCCTGTATCAGTAATTATAGAAACAATAACCTACATGTATATTTGGGAGATGACTTTTATCGTTAAAGAGATAAAATGTGCATGTTTTCCATTTTCAGAACTCACTGTTTCTCCTTGAATGACATTTTCCACAGTTATGTGTCCTTCATTGTACCACTGGACTGGAAACGGCTGCCATTGCTGAAAAAAAAAAAGATAGAAATACATGTGATTTTTATTCTTTACAATAAATATCTTACATACATTTAACAGAATTGGTTGCGAAAATGTACAATTGAACATCTTATCTTTTCACCTGCCCAGTGTATTAATAATATCATGATATAATAATAACATCTTATGGCAACCATTCAGCTTTTTCATTACAGCCGCGTCGATAGATGTTATTACATGGACCAGTATTTCTAGCCCAGCTTTGCATAAATGAGCTCTCCATGGATAATTTCCTTCACCCACGACAAATGTTTGTACATCCACTACAAGTATTATAAGGTATAGAAAGTTTCATTTCTGGATAAGGATAGAAATTTGTTGCATAAAACCAATAACTGAAGATATAGCACTTCCTGCAGGGACCACATCATATCCTGTACAATAAGAACTGTGTTAGATAATCAGTTCATCAATTCTAGGTATCCTGTGTATGCTTGCCTGTATTTGATTACATGTCCGTGTGTTCCATGCTTTTCTTTATTCTCTTGTAATACCAAATTCAAGTGCAAGAATCCTATTGTTTATTACAGTGCCAGTCATGGAATCGATCTGCTACAAGGATTCATCACCCGTTTTGTATGTGATACATAGGTGTGCTATTGCCTTGGTTATGCTTTGATAATTACGCTCCTATTTATTGCATACAGTTGGCAAATCATTTAGCAATGTATTAAAGTGACAGCTGTTTCAGAGTAAGAGTCTGAGGAGGTTTCTGATACAAATATGGGACAAGCTTCTATATCTCTTAAATGTATTGGAGTGGACAGACCCTCTTTAGGATATAATTCTTTTTTTATTAGATTACATAAAATTATTTTGCTCAAATCAAAGTTTTGAGATTAATCAGGGAAAGTTTGGCAAAAAAGTATTTTTCATTTTTATAAGCCAAATAAGTGGAAGATAAGCATTTGGCTCAAATTTATCATGTTTGATTGGCGCAGACTGGTGCTGCTAGATCAAATTGACTTTTTAAAAAATATATGAATAATTAACCTGTCTCGTAATTTTTTGGAACAATGAATTAAATATCAATACCGGTTTGGGCTCAAAATTTCACCTCAATCAGCTGAACTAAATGACACACTTCCTTGAGCAGAAAGGGGTAATTAACTTTCTTGTGCGCTTGGCTTAATTACCTCATGTTGCTTGAGGAGGCTTGTCAGACAATTAAGCTGATTCCTCTGATTGCATTTAGTAAGAATCCCTGCAGAGTTTGGTCAATCCAAATAGTCCACTTGGGAATGGGATCTAAAATCTATTGTACATATTTTGTCCTGCAGTAATTTTAGAATAATACCTGAAAACATGTATTATCAAATTGAGTAGACTTTAAGAGTACAGACACTACAACTAAGCCACTAGTATACCATCAAATGCTTGGAAAGAATTGGAAGAACATGTATATAAATAATATATACTGGCTCTGTGTATATATACGTATTATATATTCTTGAGATATGTAGCTGTCATAAAACGGTGGCAAGATGTTTAAATTGTGTGCTATTGCGATGAAGTGGTATTGATTATGACTCTAAAATCAATTCAAGTTTCTTCACGAGCCATGCTTTATGTATATCTCGTATCCACTGATTGAACAGAGAACTTTGGTCTATATAAGAGCTTAAACTAGTACCATTCCAGTATACAGAGCCTGCAAAAAAATTTTTTTACAGTCCAACTCAGTCTGCTCTCACAATTAAAACTAAAAATAAAAACATAGGCAACTTTTAAGGCAGATGGATTTTTAAAAATGTACAAATAAAGAAAAAAAAAGATATTCTGGAGTTTGAAAGTCACAGGAGAGACCATCGAGTGCACAGGGATCAGTCTGAAATTATAATAGTAATGACTTTTTTTTGTAAATTTGTCCACTTCCTGACCATTGGTTGCTCCAGTTTTTGGCCAATATGTATTTATAATTAGGCCCTCCGGTCTGCCTAGTAGACTATAGAGACAGTAGACTTGAAAAGTTTTCTGAGCTGTGGGGCACTGAAACCAGAAAATCTGCTGAAAATGTTTCTTTATGACTTGCACCCCTGCACCCCAATGTATTGTCCTTGGAAGTCAAAACAAATCTATTCTATTGTTAAGTCACCTCCCACCACTGTAGCTGTATACTTATCAACTATCAATAAACCCAGTGACACAGGGGTCACCAGATACAAGCAACCTGATCAATTAAAATCAATCAAAGTCATGCTCTTAAAAGAGGTGGGCATTTGTTCGCTATGATACAATGCAAATGTTTTGCAGGAAACAGCCTGGCATGTTTTTTCTTTAATTTGAGCATTCTCCATTAGATTTTTTTCTGAATATTTAAAATGAAAACCAATATACAGGGTATGGCACAAAGAATGATATAAAATCAATTTGTTTCTAGGCCTGTCTGGTGTTATTGGCAACATTTCAATTAATTGTAAGATACACAGAAAAAACATTTTTAAGCTGGCTATGGAAATGAAAAATATTTTAAGATGGCTATGGAAACGTAAAGCCAAAACAAATTTACAAGGCTCAAACTAATTAAGCTGAGTGCAAAATATAAATTGCTTTTGTTATTTTTTTTGTCATTTCATAATTTATATAGTACAGATTAGTTGTTGGCTTAATATGATATAACACTTGTTTGTCGTGATGAGTCATTTGCCTACACAATTTGTTAAAGAACACTGACAGGATGAGCCCGCGGTTGTCCTACAAAAATTGTTCTGGGGTAAGATACTCCGAAATGTGATCTGACACACACCTTGAAAAAGGGTAGTGTGGTCCGAAATACCAGTTAATGCAGGATCCTTATGTGCCAAGTCTGGTAGTTGGTAGGCCTGATAATATACTATCCTTCATTTATGGAAAACAGCCTTGTGCACAGTATTTACTCATGTCTTATCTAAGTATTCAAATGAATTAAATCAATATATCAATTACTGTATTATTATCAATATGTATACTAATACATCGAGCTCCAGATGCTTGTCTAAAAACAAATTCAAACCCCACACCTTAAATCTTTCTATTGATCTCAACATGCCCACTCTTTTCAATCAATTAATAATGAAATATGAAATTGCATAATAGTACATGTATACCAAACTGCTGTTTGTTATTGTTCAGGGATAGAATGAAATTACTACACTGTAAAAAGTTGCAATGTATGATAGTTATTACTTTGAGATTTATCATTTATTTAGTTTTTAATAGAAACCAGCAAGACTAAACATTATGTGCAGCAGCTGGTATAAAATATACAATTTTAATAAAAATTATGACATATCTCCTAAATTTTCAATAAAAATGATAAATCATTTTCAGAAAACAATTTTCCAATATACATAAAAACAATTTTGAAGTTCTGAGTGGAGAATTTGGTTCAAGTCTGCAAAATGTTCTTGTAAGCATCTCAAAATCATTGATCTTGAAATATATAGTAATGATATGTTTGTGGAGTATGATTTTAAGAACAGATCTTCCCTTGTTTTCCAATACAGTTATTTACCAAATATAATAGCCATAGTGTTACTGCATGATTATCAGCTCTGTCTCTGATTACTTAGCTTGCCCATCTTTAGAAAGATATTTACTCAACACCGACTAGGGCCCATGAAACTGTTTGACTGGTCTTAGCTGAACAGTAGCCATAGTATTGATGGATATACTTGCCATACAGGCTGAACTCTCCTAACTGTTGACCTTAGAATGGGTAATACAAGCCTGTACCCAGCAAGGGGGGGGGGGTATTTTTATGAAAAAGCAGACCTTTACCATGAAACCTTCATGTTCTTAGATCAAATTTTGCCCAGAGCAGACCTTTTCCTGTCAAAAAATGAAGTTTATTTGAACCCCCCACCCCCTCCAGTTCCAGGCCTGGTTACAGAGAAAATAAAACATATTTTAAAAACTCCCGATCAATACGTCCGTGCTGTTGAAAAAGAAATATAACAAAAACAGAGCTGATCAACTTATTGGGCAAATAATTCTTGGATTGATTTTTTTCCATTGTGTTAACTCAACAAACAAAGGGAATGACAAAAAGCTTAATTGCAGGTTAGAACCTGTTTTCTCCTTGCTTGACGAGAAAGATCTTTACAGAAAAAATAGTGAAGAACTCAATTTTTACTCCAGCAACATCTGTTTTTATATGCAATACTGTATATAAAGAAAATTACTAGTATAATATGAAGTATGTTACAGTAATTTCTAGAAGTACATACTGTGCATGGACAGATTAGTGGGTAATGGATGGACAGACATGCAGGCATACGGGAGTTGGCTATTAGATGGAGCTTTTGACAACTTTGGAACTTTGGGCCAGAAAAATTTGTTAGAGTAATGCAACGATTTGAGATGGGCAACACTTGTGCAGTTTACACTATAATGAAAAAGTAATAAAACAGTACAATGGTCCACAAAATAAATTTGAGATAATTTTAGTTATAAAGTGCTGGCTATTACAGAGCCTATTATCTAGATCTTTAGACTACTAGACAGACATATATTCTCACACAAACTAACCTGTGTTTGCCAGGAATCCAGATAAAATCTTAACCCTCCCTGCACCAGACACTGAAACTCCTGACCACTGGCATGGTGGAATGTCTCAAACACCAGGTCATCATTGTTCTGAAATCAAAATTCAAAAGTCAGGAAATCCTTTTTTCAAATTTTATTGAAAATGTTTTTTTTTAACTTTAAACTTTAAACTTAAGTGAAGGTATTTTTTTCTGAGGAAGCAATTGCTCAACAAAAGCAAATCCAGAAAGGGGTTACATGCAGCCCCTTGGCCTTGGAGGTCCCCCCCTCCCCAAAATAAAATAAAAAATAGAAAAAAAGTGCAACAAGTGAATTAGACATAACTAAGCAATTTTTTCATCCATTTTCCCTATATTTTACAGTAAAATTGTCACCTTCTATTATCTGATTTGCTAGTCAAATTTTTTTCATTGCTCCCTCCCCCCATAATTCCCCCTTAGCTAGACCAAGTCCAGTCATCACAGGAATAAGTCTGTCCACTCACAGTGGTAAAATGCTCAGGATTTTGGGCTGCCCTCACAACATCATGCAAGTCATAGTTGTTCTCTCGCCCGGCCGCACGCACGGCTGCCTGGCTCCAAAGATTGGCCTGCGGAGAACCCAAGGTCACATGGTCGTCAGCTTGTTGAAGCTGACGCTCTTGGAAGCCCTGTTCAAAATTTTAGAATAATTTATTAATAAAAAATAAATGAATAAGTATAATAATAATTATAATAAAATGAAAATAGTAATAATACAAAAACAGAGAGGTGTTTATCATTGTCAATGTAAAATGAGTAAAACTTGGGTCATTGGTTATGAAACAATTAAATAAATATCATATACTGTGGGTTAAATGATAATTCCCATCCACAGAATTATAAAAAATAACAATAACAAAAATAACAACAACAATAATAATAAGTGCAGCACTGGTATTTCAATTAATATTTGTAATGATAACAATAATACTTTCTTTTCCAGGCATCATTGAAATGTGTGCAAATATATACCCTGCTGCTATGATATTTTAATACAGCGACAGTAACCAATATACTGACATATACTGCAATGTTGTAATAGCACAGATACTGTACATACTAGTGGTATACAAAGCTTGACTTCTTAGAAGCAAAGTTATTTCTTATTAATTAAGTGCTGCTTATGTGACTAGCTATGGTATGTTGAGTCTTGACCATTTAGTAACCACTAATTACTTTATTTTAAAACTTAAAGCACTTGTCAAAATCAAATGTAGTTACTGAAGAATTTGTTTCAAAAAAAAAGAAAAAAAGGGAAGTAAGTACAGTAGGAAAGTTTCATTTGAGACATACACCAAAAAGTTTAGAATAATCAGGCATTAAACATATGACATAATGAAAATACTGATTTTTTAAAACTTTACTCAAAACACATGTATACATGTATTATAAGGATATTAACAAAGCAAGGTACTGAGTAGTCATCTATAGTTTTATGCTCTCTGCAGCACTTTTCTTTAATTCTATAATCAATAATCAATCTGGACCGGCAGGGTGAAATAACATAATTTCAATTTCTGTCCATGTTCAACTTACCTGGTGTCCTCGGGGAGACCGGGACATATCAGCGTGGGATCTGCTAGTATTTCTATTCCTATTTATGGGTGAGCTATTCTCAGTATCGACAGAGGCTCCATTCCCCATCCCTCACTGCTCACAGAGCACCATTATCTCATTGCTGCACTGATGGCTGAATAACATGACTCTGGGTCTGTGGATGCTCTCCTTTTTTATCTATTTTTTATCACTTTGCACAGTGTAACCTGAATATGAAATACACTATTAAGTGGAGTATATCTTATGAAGTGGATAATCGGTATACATATTATGCAAAAGATTTCACTCACTCACTCACACACACAGAAAATATATGTCTTTGTTAATTAATAAATCTTTTCTAATGGTAGAGGAACTTTCTTAAAAATCAATGTTGAAATAACAATTCATTTCATAGCTATCAGTATCAAACAGAAAGGAGATTTAACTTTATAAATAGACCTGCAAATTTACTCACCTTACCACAGCAAGGCGGAGATGGTTAAGATGAACTACAGGCAGTTGGACCAGCTTTCTTATTTCCCGTCTAGGAGTCCGTCAGACTAAGCAAGACAACATTCTTTGGTCCATCTTGCTACTGTTAATTGATTCTGTGGCTGCAACACTTAGACTCGATTTCTCTCAGCCGGGCAATATCTACTGATAACTGAAGAAGTTTCGTTCTTAGCTTTTTAAGGCCAGGCGGCAACAGGTCTCGGGTGTCTGATTATAGATTCATGTTTCTCACGACTCGCCGAATATGATTGATAGTTTAACTGAAGAAATCAATATTCTATCTACTCCATTTACAATAGTCGTCAACACATATGCACCGTGTTGTGGTATCAGAAACTAGGTCAGCAGGGAGCTAAACGGTCACGTGATCAAACAAATTATCAGTCGCCGGACTACGACTAAATAAGGGTAGTTTTCTGTATGGTAACATAACGAAAGTATATCTGCAATTTCAAGAATTGTTTTGCGTATTAAACTAATAGTAAACGAATAAAGGTTATTGCTTTATGCATGTGAATTCCTGCTTTTTTTGCCACCGCAACCGACCAGCGCTTCCTTTCCCGCGAGATCTCGCTCGCGTGCCCTAGCAGGAAGCAAATGACATGTTAACACCGCTGAATTTGTTTACATCGTCACTAGCATGTAATCTCACCGTGGGATGCCACTAGGAAGATAAATGCACTACAATGGAAGTATTCAAGGCAATATGTGACTTTAAACCGCCCAAAGGGAGCTCCAGCCATAGCTTTCTACCATTTAAAAAGGGAGACAAGTTTGAGGTTTTGGAGCCGAACCATACCCAGAAGGAGTGGTGGGGGGCTCGGGCCTTGAAAGGCAACAAGATCGGTTACATTCCGGCTAAATACATGAAGGTGTGTATGGCTTATCACTGCAACATTATAGTGTTTGTTCAAGATAAAATATACGTGCGTGTTGAAATAAGAAGAGTTTGACGTTTGTGAGTGTTTTGGGGGGCGGAGGGGAGTGATTCATTGAGACTGTAAAGATGAAACGTACATGTACTTGATGAGTTCGCACAAGTTGCAGTGATCTTTAGTTGAACCACGTACTGAAGTAGATCAGGGATATTGGATCATTTCTGAACTGAGGAGACAAAAACAGACTGTAGTGCACAATGCTTATGCTGTCTAGATTCAAATACCAGTATGTAAACATTTGAATTTAAATTAAATAAATTTATATATTTATGTATAATTGAATATATATTATATATCCCATGATACCTTTATTGGTCATTGTCTTTTTTTGTATTTGAACAAAGTTATTATAATTACTGTGACAGTGTGTTGATTGCCATAGTGAATTTGTCATGGATCCACATTTTATCATTTTCATTCTATTTATTGCATCTTGTATGATAAGATAACTTAGAGCACTATTTATAAATGTTTTTCATTCATTTCACCTGGGTATCAGTTGTTAAGATTTTTATCAGATCCTGCATGTCAGAGGGAACCTGTATGAGCATTTGTATGGCAATTACTCATTTAAGGCAAACAACACGAATTAAACGAATCCCCCCCACCCCCACAAGAAAAAAGTTTTGCTGGTAATAGGTAAAAATTGAGTTAATGTTGGAAAGTACTTTTTGGGGTGTCATAAAATAAAAGTCAAAGATAAAAACTTGAAGAAGTGAGATATTTAAAAAAAGAGTGGTTAAAGTAATAGCTATGTGTTAATAAATCAATGTAATTTGTAATTTTCCAATATTTTGAACTAATAACTTGCTTTTCCTTTAGTTGTACTACTGAGGTAGTTGTATGAAAATCAGTCAAACAGTCTCTGATTATTTTTTTTTGCCAAATCTATAACAGAAATGTACCATCTGAGAAAAGAGTTATCTGTTTTGGATTTGTAGATTATTTGTATATATTTTTTTAATAAAATAATTGCCATTCCAAAGTTTCTAGCTTAATCAACATGACTCTTAATTTTAAATTACCAGTATGTCAATGAAATACAATGAAAGAAATACAATGTCATAACCACAGCTAAATATAAATGAATGTCCTTCTACTGTACACTGCAGAATCAGTCATGTTTTGTATGATGAATGGAATGAATCACCACAGCTAGCCTGAGCGTAGCATACTTGACATCCCAAGATAGTCAATACACCTTATTCATCCCAGGTCACTTGGATTAATTTTACTATTGAAGCTATTGCCTCTTTAGAGTGGATTCTTCATTCAGGCTTCAATGGAATAGTTTACTATACATAGTATGATAAGGTTTTGAAATAAGTTGGGTACTCTGCTGCTCTCAAGTTGAGATCAGTAAATAAAATAATAAATAAATAAATAAATAAAATCCTATCCAAAAAGCCATTTTCTGAGGCAGTAACTTAGTGCTTTGCTTGCATAAACCATATAAAACAGAAAATGTTATTTACAATTCATTTATTTTTACTGAAAATTATAATATAGAATAAATCATGCAATTTGGAAAGTGTGCCAAAATGTTTTCACAGAGTCTTAAACTAAAAGCTGTCCAGTTTGTCATAATATTTTAAGTACTAAACAAGATTTACTGATATTCATTAGTACCACCAGCGTGTACGCTGGCGGTACTCATGGTTTTAGTCCCGACCCGTATCGTACGGCTCCGCCGGCTCCGCCGGCTCCGTAAGCTCCGCCGGCTCCGTGAGCTCCGCCGGCTCCGCAGGGTGGCGTGGGATACAAGTCACCGTTACCGCTTCTCCTCCTAGACTGCATGGGCCTGTGTCCCCATCTCTTGGATTTAGGTCACATATAAATTCAACTTGAACCCCCTGTTTTTTTTGTCTCGATCGGTGCAATTGCCTGGGCGTGACGCTCGTTGAAATGCACCCTTGTCAAAATTTTTGAAAATTCAATGCTATATATCTCCCAAACTGAAGGAATTATGGGAAAAATTAATATAGAAGTCTGACCGAAAGTCACATATGAGGATTCCAAATATGCCCTTGGATTTGACCTTTGACCTTTATTTCAAGGTCAAACAGGCCAAAATTTTCAAAAAAAGGGAATTTTTTACGAAAAAAAA